TTCCCCAGCCAGCCATGCTGGCTGGGGAATTCTGGGAGTTGAAGTCCACCTATCTTAAAGTCGCCCAGGTTGAGAAGCACTGCTCTAACTGACTGCAGACTTTGAAGAGAGACCCTAAGACAGGATCGGTACCTTTTAAAACTCAGCTCTTAACTGGGGGGAAACGCAGCTGCCTTGATTGGCTGGAGGCGGCTTCGGGCTTGAGGAAAGAGGCTCCCAGCTGCCCTGCCGAGCAGCCCGGAGCAGCACGGTGGTTTGCCCCACTTAAAGTAAGCCAAACTCAGCCATCTCCAGAACGTTACCTTGCTCACGGCTTGAATCCTCGCAGCTGGAAAACGCCAAGCAGTCGGCCGAGAGGAACAGCAACATGGCCGGGGCGGCTCACGAGGAGCTTCAGCAGACCCGCATCCGCATCGACAGCTTGTCAGCCCAGCTCAGCCAGCTGCAGAAGCAGGTAAGGGCTGACGGGGTTGGGGAGGGGGCTGCTGTTCTCCTACCTGCTCTGGCTACCTTTGGGTCTCCGGGCAACATCGCGGCACCGCCAGCTTCCTCCACGTGGAGGGATCGCACCTTTTGCTCCCTTGGTTGTGCCCGTTTTGAAGATTCAGGGGTGGCTTACGTGGGGTGCAAACAGGCAGGCTACGTCTGTGAGCCACATCGTATCAGCCACCTTACAGGCCCCCCTCCCTCTTTGAGGCCCCCGCTGTTCCCTCCCTGGGCAGGGACAGCCCTGTCTTGCAAGCCTTCCAGCATGTTAGTGGGCTGGGGGGGCGTCCTATCCTGCTCCAGGGCCGGGGGCTACAGCTGAGAAGGCCTGCCTCCATGCAGGAGTGCCTCTGGGGCAGCCCACGGTGTCTGGGGAGAGTCTGCTTACGCTTCAACACTACGAGTCTCGAGCACCCACTTTTCTTTCCCAATGCTCGGCGTTGAGGGTTGGGAGGAAGAGTTGAGGACTTTCAGGAGGGGCTTCTGTAAGGAGAACAACCAGGTTGATAGGTCAGGTGGAGCCGTGGCTTGCTTACCAATATCAACCACTGGGGTCACGTTGATGGGTTTAACAAATTCCACCGCGGCTTAGAGATCTGCTGCTTAGCAAGAAACTTCTCAGCTTCTCTGTAGAGGTTGTTAAGGCTCAGTGGATTTGTAAATAAGACTCAGAATTCACCTGGCCCCAGAAGCCAGCATGCAGGTTAACACTGCTGCGGTGGTCTGCCAGTCCCTCGTTCACACAGCCCACTAAGCCCAGGGCGAGGCGGGTTGGCCAGGGCCAGGCCAGCCCTGTTGTAATGGGCTTTGCGAGCTTGGGCAGGGGGCCGCTCGCCCAGGCGTCCAGTCCAGGCCCCCACCCCTCTTCTGACGTCCTTCCCAGCTGGCAGCCAAGGAGGCGAAGCTGCGTGACCTGGAGGACGCTCTGTCCCGGGAGCGCGAGACCAGCCGCCGCATCCTGGCGGACAAGGAGCGGGAGATGGCCGAGATGCGGGCACGCATGCAGCAGCAGCTGGACGAGTACCAGGAGCTGCTGGACATCAAGCTGGCCCTGGACATGGAGATCAATGCCTATCGCAAACTCCTGGAGGGGGAGGAGGAGAGGTGAGGGCCAGGCGGTTCCCCGCGGAGTCTGGCCAGTGGGGCGAGGCAGACAGACCGCGGCCTGGGGGGCCTTCCCCGAGCAGGTGTGGCCCCCTTCAGGTGTGGCCCCCGAGCGCCTGCCTAACGGTCTCAGGACAACAGAAAGTGTTCTGGTTTAGACTGGATCTGGACGGATTGGGCGTTTGTCCGGCTGCCTCTCTTCTGGGGGGGGCGTTTCCAGTGCCCTCTGCTTCTGGGACCGGCTGGCAGGCCCCCAGGGCGCGCCTCCCGCTGCAGAAGGACCAGCTCGGCTTAGGAATTCGCCCTGGCACGGCTGGTGAAGCTTTGCTCCTGTTGCCGACGAAAGGGAGGGTGGCGCAGCCCCATTCGAACGGAAGCTTTCTCTTTGTTGGGGGGCGGCCTCCCCATCAGCCACCTTGCCTCTCCCCCCAGGTTGCGCCTCTCCCCCAGTCCCTCCTCCCAGAAGAGCGGCTCGCGGATCCGCGTCTCTCACTCCTCCTCGCAAGGCTCCGCCAAGAAGAGGAAGCTGGAGGATGGCGAAAGCCGCACCAGCTTCTCCCACCATGCCCGGACCAGCGGCCGGGTGGCCGTGGAGGAGGTGGACCTGGAGGGCAAGTTCGTCCGGCTCAGGAACAAGTCGAACGAGGTGGGTGCCGGTCGCAGAAGGCTGCGTGGCCCGAAGTCCTGGGACACACAGGTCTGGCAGAAGCCGTTCAGCCCCTGGGTCGGGTGGTGGGGTGGGCAGTACGCTGTTCCGGGCCTGGCTGGCTTCCAGGACTGCGAGAGGCAGCCGCGTCCTTGTAGGGTGGATCCACCCAAGGCCCCCATGCAGCCCCCCACATCTTTTAACGTGGCCCCGTAAACGTCCGACGGGATGGAAGAGGGAAGCGATGCACATGAGTGGAGAGCGGCTGTGCTAACAATAACGAATTCCAATCCCGTTTAAAGATTACTTTTATTATTTATACATACATACATACGTATTGGCTGCCCAGCTCCAGGGATAAATGAGAGGAAATCCAATTCAGCCTTTGTTCTGGCCTCACTGCTGCTTTTTAGAGCCCCGTTCTGCCACCCGTCAGGCACCCAAGAAAGGAGACGTCTTGGGCTCCTCTGAACGCTGGAGTTAGGGTGGTTCCTTGAGTTTGCAGTCGTAAGCCATGATGGCTGGGCTTTGGCTGTAGCCCAAGGCACCTGGCGGGATCCAGGCTGCCTTCCCCGGCTTTGCTCCGTGGCTCCCGGCAGCAGAGTCCGCCGGCTTCTGCTCGGCAGGGCTGGGGAGCTGAAGGGGGAAGCTGGCTGCTGCCCTCTGGGATTGGGACCGGTCTGGAGAAGTTCTCCCCGCTTGACTTTAAGCCATTCGTTTTGGATTTTGTGGTTCTTTGGCACATCTCCACCACTGTTGGCCGGGTTTTTAAATGTCAGCCCCCAAATACAGAGCTGCAGCCGCTGCTCTCCTAAAACGCGCGCGCTTTGGGGCCCAAAGGTCACAGCCTTTCGAGGCATCGCCCTGGAGTGTGACGGTCGTAATCGTGAGTTGTGGATTCTGAAAAGTGCAAGTTTTGGACGGGCGATGTGTTTTGGTTCTGTGCACTTGCGGAGGCCAAATTGGGTCAGTTTACCTCTGAATGGTATTCCCTTTGCTGCTGTTGCTACCGCTGGTAGCAACAGCATCCTTGGCCCCGCGCTCTGCAGGCCCCCACCACTGCTTCCCTTCCGTGCTTCCTTAGGACCAGTCGTTGGGAAACTGGCAGATCAAGCGCCAGAATGGAGAAGAGGCCCCCATTTGCTACAGGTTCCCCCCCAAGTTCACCTTGAAGGCTGGCCAGCTGGTTACGGTGAGCAGCAGCCGTGGGCTCGGGGGGGGGGACGGGCAGGGAGAAGCGGCAGGGCAGACCGGACGCCAGGAGGAGGCCCTCTGCCGCTCTGGCGCCCGGGCTAGCTGTGGGGAGCTGCCCGGTGCTGGGCAGGATGCTCTGCGGTGGTGACGCATCCTCTTCTCTTTCTCCTCCTCCTGCACCTCCTGAAGATCTGGGCTGCTGGCGCCGGCGTGGCCCATAACCCTCCCACGGACATGGTGTGGAAGAACCAAAGCTCGTGGGGCTCCGGCGACAGCTTGCGCACCGCTCTCCTCACCTCCAGCGGAGAGGTAAGGCGGCTGAGACTTGGCGAAGGGAGGACCGCCTGGCAGCCGGTTTCCCGCAAGGCTGGAGTCGCCTATCCGAGGGCTGCCGTGGGGGTGGGCGGAGGGGTAGACCTAGCTTTGGAAAGGGGAAAGAGTGTGATGGGTGCTGTTGCAAAATGGGTGGGGGGAGGCTGCTCTCCTCCGTCCCCCTCTCTGTTGCCCTTCTCCCCCATCAGGTGGGCACAATTTTCTTTGCTGAAAATGCCCCTGGGGACTAGAGCATTTCTGGAAATGGAGATGATGCCTCGGGCTGGCCCTTGGCTTTGCAACCTTTTCGATTCCCGTTTAATTTTGAAACAATTCAGAGCATGTAAAAACAAATAGAGCAAGTAGGGCATCACATGGGGACTAAGGAATCTGGGGGCTCGGCGGAGGCATCCTGGCGCTTTCCTTGGTGCCAGCATGGAAGAGGCTGTCGTGCCAGGCTTGGTGGGCATCGGTTGGGGAAGGGCACTTGGTGTAGCCCAGAGCTCTGCTTTTAGATGGTGCCCCGGGCAGAAGGCAGGAGCCCCATTCCTCCCCCCTCCGTCATGCTGAGAGGTGGCTGGCCCAGGGCAGGTCCTCCATTTCTTCTTCCCGCTCTCCAGGAGGTGGCCATGCGGAAACTGGTGCGCACGGTCATTGTCAACGATGACGATGAAGAGGATGAGGACGAGGACGGCATCCATCACCACCACCATCACCATGTGAGCTTTGGGGGACGCGGGGTGCCTTAAACTCGCTTCTCCAGGGCCGAATTAAATGGGAGAACAAGCATTATTCAACATCAGTTATGGGGGTTTTTGAAAACGCAAACAGCTTTAGTTGTAGGGGAGGACTCCCAGCAGGTGAGCTGGGGAATTTAAACTTCTTTTCTGCCTTGTTACCCGTGGGAGAAATTCTTCCTCTGATGCTGTTTGGGTTTTTTACCACGCACTGCATGCGTCAGATTTCTTTTTGTTCGTTCATTTGTTACTAGAGCCAAGAGTGCATAGGGACAATAAAAGACCCCTCCCCTCAAAAACAACAGTGAAAGCAAACACACAGGTGAAATAATCCTCAATTCTAAGGATTATTTTAGATATCCTCAGGTATACAAACCGAAATATTTATATACCTCTTCCTGTTTTAAAGAGAATTGCAAAGCCATTTACAATAAAACCTCTAGAAACCTTCTAGAAAATTTGACAAAAGCCTACATTAAAATTTGAAAAACCAAAAAAAACAACCAACCCCCAAATGAAATAAGCAATCAAATAAACCGAAACGATCATGGAGAGCAAAAGCAGCAATGCAAAGGGTAAAGTATCACCGCAGCACAGACACTTTATTAAAAGGCCTGCAGAAATACAAAGGATGGGGCCAGGCGGGCCTGACTGGGGAGGCGTTCAGAGGTGGGAGTTAACCGGAGAGGCCCCACACGCTTCCCGCCCTCAGCTGACCCCCCGAAGTGGTTCTGAAAGCATCAGTGGGAACGTAAGGGAAAAGGACCTTGCCGGTCTCAAAAGACTGAACTGGTTTGGACACAAAGTGGGAACCAGTGAGGTTCATAAGGGACTGGCACAATGTGTTCGTGTACTTTTGCTACAGCATTTTGTCCTAATTGAAGTTTCCAAGCCCTCTTCCAAACTCTGAAAGAGTTCAAGACTCGTTGTTAGAAACATGTGTTTGCTGTTAGGAACTTATACTTAATGCTGCAGGAAATGTACAGAAAATGTTGATAGGCTGATATAGCTGTGATTTGTTCGCCCGTGAAAAACTTACAATAGAAGTCTTAGTTTAAAAATAACATCTGAAACAGATCTTTGGGTAAACGTGGACCTCTCGTGACATTGTTTGGATCAACTCAGTTCTGGGGAAGCTCTTTTTAGAACTTTTGCAGGATTATTTTTGCAAAAATGAGTTTGGTTTGTCTCTGAATGCTTCTTGGCCATTCATTCAGTTCCGGTATTTGTTGTTCATCCAAAAACTGTTGCTGCTTCTGGAATTACACAGTGATTGGAGGGTTTGAAGTAAAGCCAAATGGATGAAAATGGTATTTAGATGACCCCTGGAATAACAATGTGCTGAAAGAATGGAGGGCCACTTTAAAACATCTTATGATCAAAACATGAGATCAGAATAACGGAAGTACAGTATTTCCTTTGTGTGCATCTCAGACAACGTTGGAAATACAGTGCAAGATTCAACTGGTTAGTGCTCGCATTTAACGCGCTTGTAATTTTAACAAGCACATTAAATACAAACATGTGTTTAGCCTCAATTCAAGTTTAATCCTGTATTTTTGGAATAATTACGTTTAGCACATTTTCTGTGCCAGGCTCTTTTTTAAAAAGCCACCAGAGGCTTCCAAGCCAGAGCAAGCTGGGGTAACGAGGGAGAGTGTCCTGGCAACGTGCGAATCTGGTTTCTCAGTGCCAGATGCTGCGGAAATGGGACTGTCTCTGTCGGAACGGCCCAGGCTTCGCTTCTCATCTTCCGCTTCCTCCTCCAGAGCCACTGCAGCGGCAGCGGAGATCCGGGCGAGTACAATCTGCGTTCCCGCACGGTGCTGTGCGGCACCTGCGGGCAGCCCGCAGATAAGTCAGCCGGGGGCACGAACGCCGCAGCCAGCGCCCTGTCCTCCGGCTCCTCCTCCTCCAGCCTGACCATCACGCGCAGCTATCGCACCGGGGGCACCAGCATCGGGGAGGGCCTGCTGCCGCGCTCCTACATCCTGGGTAGCTCCAACCCACGTCAGCAGGTCAGTGTGGGGGCCGCCCAACGGGGGATGCCCGGTCCTGGGCCTGGCGGGCCGGAAGAGGTGGCTTTGCTGTGGAGAGCCTGGGCCGCGCTTCTTTATGAGTGACGGGCAGGTCAGCGCGGAAGGTATTCCGCAGACCGCACCTCGTTTGCGGTGGGAGTCCTGAAAGGGCAGCTCTCCTCCCCTTGCTTGCAGCGCGTGAATCTGCACGCGAATGTGGGTCGGTGCATTAAGGGTGCGTCCGGGCACGCAGAGGGTGGACCGTGGGCACCACTGAGCTTGGCATGCCTCGCGGCCCTTTCTGGCACCCTCTGCGCTGCTCAGGGCTTCCGCAGCCAGTGCATTTTGGAAAGCGTGGGATGATACCCGCTGAACAGGATATGGGGGTGGGTTGAAAACCCCAGCATGTTGCCTTCTGTGTCTGCAAAGCACCTCTCGTTGGCTTTGTGCCCATGTGTGCTGGCATACAAGCCCTGTTGGGCGCTGGTTTGAACAAAGGAAGTGTACGGTCTGGGTGTGGATTGTCACCCCTTGTTGAACGAGGGCGAGACTGCTCCTCGTAGCTGGAAGCTCCCCTGTTGGGGTTCAGCTAAAGCAGGAGGTCGGGGATTGTGTGTGTGTGCGTGTGCACGCGCACACAGTGGGCAGAGCCAGTGACCCACATTCCTCGCCCCCAAGCAAAGGGAATCAGAGCTTCCTTGGGGACGCGTTTTGCCTTTGGGAGGCTGAGCTGGGGGATGTTTTATGCAGAAGATACCTATTTTGCACTCTCGAAAATGGTTTTAATTATTCCCTCCCCTGCTCCTGCCTGGCACTGTGCAGCATCAGGAACTTGTGCAAATGTTGGCCGTGCTGTGCCAACTTTGGGTGCGGAAATGGAGCTGGAGAAAGCCCCCAGCCCACAAAGGGGGTCCTGGCTGGGGAGGCTGTTTTTCCTCTGGGGGAGGTAGGGGCCGACCCCCACAAGCGTTTTGGACGGGCTGCTGCGTGTGGGTCTCCCCCAACGTGCTTCCTGGCATTTTGAGGAAGATCCAGATCTGGATTGGCCGTGAATGTCTCTCCCTCTCTCTCCCCCCCCCCACTCTTTGCAGGGTCCTTCAAGCTGCAGCATCATGTAATCTTTGATGTTTCCCGACATGCACTCACTGCCCGCTATATGAAGCTCTCTGTCCTTTACATGCGCAGAAAAAAAAAGAGAAAAAAGGAAACAAAAATTTTTTAAAGAAGTTATTTTCTACTGCAAGAATTTATACTTTATTATATATCTCTATATATCTATATATAAATACGCTAAAGATGCTTCAGGGTTTTTTAAGGGGGAAGAAGTCTTTTTTCTATAACAGAAGTTTAAAAGGAGCCCTGCCAAAGAGTTTAATTTACTATTGCCAAAAAAGAAAAAGAAGAAGAAGTCCTATAATTTTAATATTTCTTCCAGTAAGGGGGAGCGTGTAAATGTGTGTGTATGCACAGGAGAGAGGGTGTTTGTGTGTCTGTGTGTGTATATATTTCCTTGAATACCAAAGCTTTCTGTTTGAAAAACGAAAAGCATCTCTCAGAGGCGAGACCCTCCTGGTTTCTCTTCTCCCTCTCAGTCAAACTCTTAAGTTTTTTGCCCTTAGTATCTCCCTGGGAGGAGGGTGAACCACTAACCAGCCATGGTTAACTCCTGCCTCGCCCCCCAGCTCCCCACGCGCTTCGGGGAAAGAGTCGAGTCCAGCTCTTTTGAAGACACTACAAGCCGTCGACCCTTGTTTACATTTTGAAAGAGGCTGGGAGACTCTCGCATTCTTAACTGGTTTCACTTTGCAGCGACTCTGACATCAGGCCAGTCCAACCCAAATCAGGTTGCTTAATGCCTGCAAAAAAACACTTTAAGAGGTAGTCACTCAGGGATGCTTGAATTAAATTCCCCAACTCCCTTAAATTAGAACGCCCACGTCGCCCTCTGCTCGAAAAGGCCACGTGTTTCATGTAACGGCGAGCTGGTTCCACACAGGATGAATTCGTACCTTTAAAACAAAACCTGATTTAGCTTGTATGTTGTCCAGACCTATACGCGTGACACCCCACTGAATAGCTTTAGGGGAAATTAAGTTTACAGCCACTGTTTGCTTCAAGTAACGTTTAGCATAAAGTTGGGTAGCGCCTCGCTTTGGAAATGAGCGTTTCCGGTCCTCCTCCGTAGGAAAAGGAGCCCGGCTTTCGGGTGCCTCTGACCTGCTTCGCCCGAGCGGCGGCGGCGGGGCTGATCTCCCTGCCCGGCCCCCTGCGACTGGCAGCCTGGGGGCTGCTCTGTACCCACAGCAGAGGACGTGTGTAGCTCAGCGTTGAACTGTGGGGTCCTGGCGGCTCTCTGAGCTTGGCCGTTTTGTTGCAGACGTTTCGTTACCCGGCGAGGTCACATTTTCAGCGCACTTCAGGGCACAGCCGGGTAGCGAAACATTTCCAAGAGAACAGCCAAGCCCAGAGAACCGCCAGGGCTCCACGGGATGCTCTGCACTC